AATTTAATGCAAAAATTTTTTTGGAGATGTCATTTCTAATTTTTTTTCAATGTGAAAAAATGTTTTTAAACTTATGAAATACGTTTTATATACGAGTACAAATTTTATTACTCGTACAAATTGTTATTTGGTTATATGTTTAGTTCCACTTAAAGGTTTTTGTTGTTATAGTTTCGTTCTTTTCCGTCAGCGTGGTGAGTGCTTAGTACATTTTCTTAGTGGTACTAACCATTGTGTATGTAATAGGGGCTGCGACCCTACTTTCACCATAAGGAATAGGGGTGAGGTGCTAGACCTTACTTTGGTTACTAATTTGGGGATCTTAATGGTCAGTAACTGGATGGTATCGGAGGAGTCTTCCCTCTTGGACCGATGCTGGATTCGTTTAAGGATAAATTTGCAACTGGAGGGGGGGGGGGGAGCAGCCGTCCTGCAAATTTTAGTAGACCATAATGGTGGTGTAACGAAATTGGTGAATCCAGGAGGAAGGTAAGGAGGCTACATAATTTAGCGATTCGGGGTAGCAGCCCAACCATGTGGGATGAATATAAGAAGGAACTGTAGGCTTTTCAGTACACAATAAGGAAGGTCAAACGGAGGTCTTGGAGGAGCTATTGCACGTCATTGGTGCAATAGCAATACCAATGAGGTTGAAAGATTAAGGAAGCTACTATCGGTGGAGCCACTGGTACCTGGTTTTATTAAAAGAGATTACGGTACTTGGGCTGGCTCTAGTATAGAAACGCTTGAGGAACTGATGGATTCACTTTCTGGGATCAATTCCCTACGGATAAGGAAGAGCTAAAGTCAGAGGGGTCCCGAGGAGAGGAGCGGTCTTTGGGTAAAGAACGTACGAGTTTTGGTTAAAGAAATTTTTATGGGGGAGAGAATACAGTGGGCTATTAAGTCTTTTGGCCCCTACAAGTCTCCGGGAACGGATGGGGTGTTGCCTATCATTGATTGCTTGGTGGTAATTTTTCGTAGCTGCCTGTATATGGGGTATGTCCCTAGAGAATGGAGAGAGGTAATGACGCTTTTTGTCAGCACGAGGGGTTTCCGACCAATCAGCTTATCGTCTTCTTTGCTGAGGACTATGGAGAGGTTAGTGGAAAAATACATAAGGAATGAGGAAAGGGAGTCGGGTCTGTCAAATGACCAGCATGCCTACAGAAGAGGGAGATCTGTGGAGACGGCGCGTAAGGAAGGTGAAGCGCAAGTAAGGTGAGGATGTTGTCGATGAGAGGCACCCTTCAAGGTGGTCCTGTTGTCATGTCTCTGGATCCTGGTTATGGAAGGTTATCTTAGGCTCATGGATATAGTGGGTGCAGAGTTACTGCCTATGAGGATGATGTGGCAATCCTGGTCTCAGGTAAGTATCCGGAAGTAATGAGTGCAATAATGCAGTGGGGCCTTGACAGAATGAATAGCTGGGCGCGAGGATGCGGTCTCTCATTGAACCCCGCAAAAACGGGGCTGGTATTGTTCACGAGGAAAAGGAAGGTGCCTGGGTTTGCCCAGTCGAACTGGGTTTGGTGGGTTGTGCGCCATACCTGGGCGTAATTATAGATAGTAAGCTGCTGTGGAGGGAAAACATAGAGAATAGGGTAAGGAGGGCCACGAATGCGTTGTTTGCTTGCAAGGGCACGGCTGGTAGACGTTGGAGAGTGAGTCCTCGGCTGGTATACTGGTTGTATGAGTGTGTGGTTAGGCCTATGGGGCATTGGTCTGGTGGCCAGAAGTGCTTCGGAATAGGGAGAGGAGGAAGTTGGAGAGGGTCCAGCGTATAGTGTGTTTTGCGGTAACTGATGCATTGTGTACTACATCCACTTTAGGTTTGGAGGTTAATCTCAACTTGGATCCGGTGAGTGAACAGGTGAAAGCAGTGGCTGCGAGGAGTACCTTGAGGCTACAAGCAATAGGCATACTTAAAAACAGGGAATACACACACAGTATAATTCTGAGAGAATATTGAATGGGGCCTATGGACATTAGGCCTGATTTTATGATGCCATATATCGATTGGAGAGTGGATTACGGGGGGCAGAGATTTTGGCGGTGTCATGGCGGCGGAATTAGATGCCATTAAACCGGTGGATTGGGGCCCTCGCGTCCTATTCGGTTGGGTCGATGCGGGGGGGCACTTGGAGCACTTTGAAATATGTGCAGGGTGACTGTATGCTGGGTTCCCGGTCACAGCGGGATACGGAGTTGTTAGATGGCAGATCGTCTTGCGAGGGCTAGGGCGAGCGGACATGCTGACATGGCGTCATAGATGGTGAGTGTAGCAGGAGCAGCGGGGTCTTGGGGGCGGAGGCTCGCACGTGTAGGGGGACCAAAACAATGTAAATTTTATTGATTTTAAATTTAAAGGTTAATCCTACTTACAGCGTCATAAAATTTTGATTAAAATTTTACCATTTTGAAGCATACCGCAAATTCTTTACGTTAAAATTTTGTTTTCAGTCTGCAAACTGTCTGACGTATAAAACTTTTTCGGACAGAAATGTAGTAAACTTTTTACCCGTAATTGACTTTAAATTTTGATCATCCGTAAACGTCAAAACAAAAAAAGAATTTTTTTTAGATTTAAAATAATTTTATACTTACATACGAGTACATCAAATTTATTTACTGAATTACTACGTCAGACTGTCCGCATATAAAAAAAAATCTACAATTTTGACGCTTAATTGACTTTTTTTAAACGTTTAAGAATTTAAACTTTGACTGAAATAAAAAACGCAGTAGAGTATTCGAAAACTCAGACAACTCAGATTTTGTAAAATTTGACGTTTAAGAATTTACCAATAGTTTAAACCACATCTGCACTAAAAAATCCGACATGTGGCGGCTATACCAATGGTACAAAACAATACTAATGTCACAAAATTTCTAACTAAAATTTCGCTGAAAAAACAGAGTCACTTTTTTCCGAAAAGACGGACATAGGATATAGGATATTTCCGCTATAAAAAAAGATGCTTTAGAGACAGGATTGATTCGTACTTACGGATTTCAGGAAACAAAAAGCACTCTAACGAAGTCTATGTTTTCACAGCTGCAGGAAAAAAAGTACTTAAATCTAATGAACAAAAAAAAACGTATTTTGTCAAAAGTTGGACTTAGAACACTTCTGATCTAAGGTGACGAAAGTACAACAAATAAATATTTAAGTACTCACTTATAGAATATAGTAAGATTCAGAGGGCTGCGTGTATTGATATTACTGAGGCGTTAATTTCGACGCTCGAATACGCTTCTCCATTTGCTTCCGGTGGAATTACATATCGTTTACCTGGCAGCCAGCTGTGCCTTATACTATACGACCGAGGTAGTACTCTTGCGTCACTACAGGAATGGTCGATGTGATCTAGGACTATTGTATCAGAAGATTGAGCTTCGACAAGAATTTTTGTGTCGACCTTCCTTCTCATGATTAGTTGCTCCTTTAAGGGATTTTGAGGTGGATTTATTCACCGACGGCTCTAAATATCGGCGGGAATGAGGTCGATACTGGAGCTTTCTCTTCGACATTGGGGTCGCCAGATTCGTAACGGCTGACTGACTCGTCCCGCCTTTCAGGCGAAAGCTTTCACCATATTGAAAGCATTTTATATAGTTCTCCCTCTTGGAACTAGTAACCTCGCAATAGTAACCGACAGCCGGGCGGCGATTCTGACTTTAACGTCGTGTAGGGTATTCTCGAAAATGATAGATCAAAGCTTGGTACGACCTTTAATTACTACGTGTACGACTATTAGAATAATACAAAGACGACGTATTAATGTGTGCGATACGAATACGGAATATGGATGATTTTTTATCGTGGAAATTCGATCGCAGGTGGAAATTCTTATTCATACGCGGGGCGGCAAGAAAGATGTGTCCAAAATATGCTCTTAGGAAATGGGATGGACTTTTGAAGATGACCCGAAGAGTATTGTCTGCCTTACGGCAGTCTATACCGCACATTGGCTGATGGGGGGGGGCATGTGACTAGACTGTAATTGCCCTTCAAAACAGTGTGTTGCAGCTGCCGGGAAGTGGACAAGAGGGAGACAATTTTGCACTATCTCTGCGAGTGTCTTGCTCTTGGAGAAAGCAGACTGGTCTCATGAACGGCTTGTGTGGCGGGGCTGGACAATATATCGAATTCAGTATTCCCACTCGGTAAAAACAAAATGTATCCAAAATGTACCCAACCTCTTAAGTAAAATTATTATACTAAGTCGCCTTATTATAAATTAACTCATAATTAATATTAATTTACTTTATTCACCATTAACAGTTTTGTTATTTATAGTAAATTCTTTAAGAAATCACACACATTTTCTACTACATTTTAAATGTAAAAGTTAAGGTCAGAAAATACACACGTATATGTTCTGTAGTTGTTGAACTATGCGGTTAAGACGATTCACCATAAAAACGAAATATAATTCACCATAAAGTATGTTTTACTTTCTTCTAATAACTTTTTTGGAAATAAAGCAATTTCGCGATTTTATTTATTTAGTGTTTGACAATAATTATAATTTAATTTGATAATATTTATTAAGTGTTTGAGAAATAAATGTATCCATATTTCAGCAAAATTTTCAAATGTAACCAAATTCGGCATTTTAGCAGATTTGAGTTCCTTTGTATCCAAGCTAACTTTCAAGCAAAGAATGTATGGAAACAATTGTATTCAAGTGGGAACGCTGAAAGAAGTTTAGCATCGGGAACGTGCTCAATGACGGTCAGGTGATCACGGACACATTTATGCTAATTGGGAGGCGGATGACTTGCTCGGCCATGTCAAGCAACCAACCCACATACTTTCAAGGTATATGGCATGTAGTAGTTTTCATTAAAAAACCATTTCACAGATAACTGCAAAAAATGTCGAACAGTAGGGGGTGTTCGCACTTATCCGTTCCTGCTTCTGAATATATTTTGTAATTTTCGATAAAAAGAAATATATTATTTCGTTATTCCAATAATAAAATGAAGAGGGAGATAATTCCAAAACTTTATTAATTTCAGTTGGTATAAATTTAGTAATTACTTATATATACACATATTTATTTAAATTATTGTTAATATACTCGAAACAAAGCAGAATGTTTGACATAGATACATGCATATGTACCTCATGGTGGTTTAATAGTTTTCGTTAGTCGTGAGCAATCAATAAATGTAATGAAATTAACTACTGTGGGAAAATGCTGTATTTGTGTATGGACCACTATAAATTGAACTTTCTGAATTTGACAAAGTCTTGGTTTTTCTTCTGGACATTATGCATATAACAGCCGCTATTATTGTTAACATCAGTACTAAACCAGCTATCGCTATTGATATAGCAAATGTTTTTTGTGACACACACAATTCATTCTCTCCGTTAGCCTAGATATTACAAATTTTATTTTAAACGTAAAATTAAATATTTATGTATTTATACGTATACGAGTAATACGTACATATGTATAAGTTAAAAAAAAAAAATTTACGAACCTTTTGGCGAACTACATCATTCTCAGTATCTATATCTGCATTTTCATTTACATAGAGACCTGAATAAACCTCTATAATAGCGGGAATATTATCTTCCTCTTTTTTTTCAAAGGTTTGCCGTTTCTCTCGTTTCGAATCGATGCATTCTGATACCTAAAATTAAAGTGCATGTATTAAAAAAATACTCAATGAATTTTGGAACGAAGTAAAGATTTTTTTTTATGAAGTAATGTTAGTTTTCAATACTGTTCAAGTTATCTCCAGATTTATTTTATACAAATTTGAGTTATAAATATAATAAAGTGCAGTTGCACCAAAAGCTAAGTTAAGGCACAATAAAAAAACTCACATTGTGTCTAAAAAATACTATGAAAAATTTACTGTTGAAAAACAAAAATAAAATTCAAATTTTGAACTATGTTCTGATAATGGGCATATAAGATTTTTAAGCTGAAATCTGAAACATTTTAATGGTTTTGTACTAATTATTCATTTGTATAATACATATATATTATAACACGTACTAAACTATATCTAAACAACAGAGAAAAAAAATAGAGTTGACCTTGACAACTCTGTGATACTTGTACGAATTTGTTATCCTATGTGCGAATAAAGATGCCATAACTGACTATGGGACGGACTATGACTTTAAGCTGCCGTGATACCATATTAATTTGTGCAAAATTTCAGTGCTATGTATTTTTCAAAACAATGTGTGTGCCAAACTACTATTGAAGTTGTATGGCAGCTACCAGGAAGAGCCTAGAAATTTTAACGAATTTTATCAAGCACATCGGCCCTACTAATATATTTGCTTGTGTGAAATTTCAATGCCACAGCTTTTATAGTTTCTGAGACATAGACCAATAACTTTTGAAGTTGTACGACAGCTACCAGAAGGAGCCAAGCAATTGCAACGACTTTTATCAAACACATTGGCCCTACTAATACATTCTTTGACTAATTCTACTAATTATTTAAAAATAACTTTTGAAGTTGTATGGCAGGTACCCGAACCGGTGCCCGGATCATGTCCCATTTAAATAGGGTTCTGGCACTTACTACAATAAATCATTTGTGAAAATTTGATAAACTTAGCTCAATTAGTTTTTGAGTTATCGTTGGGACGACGGACAGACAAAGCTAAATGAACTCAGAATTTGACGCTGATCAAAAACATACACGCGGGTCTATCTTATTTCTTACCGTTACAAACGGTAAGGCAAATTTAGTATACCCTTCGAACATACGTTCGTACTGGTATAAAAAGGTACCATACAAATTGATTGATGCTACCTTACCATTTTTCCGAATACGAAAACCGTTTCACAAGAATCGAATTAGATAGTAAGGCTGGTGTTAAGGTTCCTAGTCGTAGTACACTCGAAACATCGCCAAATTTTTCAGAAATATAATATTCTATTTCGTTAAATATTCTAACAGCCCTGCACTCCGGAGAGTTATATATAAAGTTAACACCAGAAAGATTTTTTGTTTAAATAAGAAAATAGCTTCAGGCTAACCAGTAAATGGAAGTTTAAAAAAAATATTCGAGTGTATAAGAAAAAGAATCTGTTTCAGCACGAAACCCTGTGTTGTGAATTTTATATTAAAAAAATTTCATTTTTCAATATAAAATTACGAATTTCGAAGTTGATTTTATTCAGAAAACTACAAGATTTTTAAATAATAACCTATCACATCAAGTGATGCTTCTAACAGAATGGTATTAAATAACTTAGAAAACAGGAAGACGCACCTGCAAAAACTAGTTTCCGCAGCAGTAATATCGAAAATGAAATGCTGCACGTACATGTTAAAAATCTTAACATGCACTTATCTTATTTCAAAAACCGTTGAGATTTAACAACTGAAAAATCTAAAAATAACTCAGTTTTAAACTAAAATTTTAGCCAAACGATGGTGTATTTCTTTATGGGTAACCTTTTTACCCATGGAGCCCAAATTTAAAATAGCAAAACTAAGGATTCCGCATAAGTTTAATACCCATAAATGTAGCTTTTGTAAAGTCAATACTTTTCTTAATTATATATACATAAATACATACAAAAATTAATAAAATTAAATTAATAAAACAAAAAATCGATTCAATGAAAAGTAAATAATTAAGCATAAATAACGAAAAAACGGTTTCAAATTCATTGTTTAATAAATGTAATTCAAGTTTAACTTTATTTAGTGAGATATTTGCATTTGTTTTTTACTTGAAAGTAATGGAATATATAAAAAACATAGAAATACAAAAAAAAGGCAGGGGCTGCACAAAAAACATGGAGGTGGCGCGCCCCTCACCTCTGATATAATATAATACTGTACTCTTTACTTACGCACTTTGTATATTGTATGTGGCGAAAGAATAAAGAGTAAAAGTAAGCTCAACCGGGTTACAATAACTCGGATTATACAGCACAAAAAAAATCATGTTTTCAATCTAGTTCATTTCCATTTCTATTACCATTTATTGCTGTAATTTATTCCAGCCCAAAGTGCTAAAAGTGGTATATATACACATTAATAAAACTAAATTTTAAAAGGATAAATTGTTTTAAAAAAAAATTTAAATTTGTAATCAGTAAGTGCCTATACTATAATCAATTGATATAAATAAATATAAGTTATCGATTTTATATTTTTATTTTAATCTTGCCTTCGTAAATTTGAAGCACACATTTGCTACTCGTATGATATTGCAAGGTGTTTCGCATAAGGTGGCAAATAATTTCAGCGATGATTCTTTGATCAATTTCCAGCAAAAAATTGTTTGGGTGGAAAGGTGTGGCTTCAGAAGTACCCATTTTCAAAATGCAGCCTTTAAAAAAAAAAGGTTCCAGATGTTTCTTGCATATAAATAAATGCTTATAACTTCAGAATCATGCGACATAGAGTAACCATTGCAAACTTATTTTATAGACGATTGATTGTCCCTTATATTCAGTCTAACAAATAATTTGATTTGAGCCATAATTATCGAGATACAGCTCGTCATTGTCAGAATTTTTGTTTTTTTTTTAAATTGTTTTTACAAAACTGGAAAATTTTTGTTTAGTTTTTTTTTTTTCGATGAGATCTAAAAGTTAACCCATATAACATTTTCCTCTCTCTCATATTTTTGCCAAATTACATATTATAGATACTAAGATAAAAAAAATATTTCTTAATGTTGTTTGCACGAAAAATCGACGAAGCCATGATTTCATCTTTAGCATTGCGACTTATTTACCAATGCACGCAAATAAATTATTTTTATACTGTAGGTTTTGAGAAATTTTACGATAAATTAATATTATTATTATTTAATTGTTCTCTCTTCAGAACAAATCCCCTTCTGTTTAAAAACAGATTGACGAAAACATTGATAATACGATATCAATAAAATAAATGGACAAATTTAGTTCTAAATGTAAGGCATATGCACGTAATATGTAAGAACTCTTTTGTCATTTTTGTTTAAGAATTGTTTGTTATAATTCCTTAAAAAAAAATTTTATATACATAAATGTATATTATGATTTTAATAAGTTCCGTTCCGAAAAAGATAAAAGCTTCAAAGTAAAAACTTTTAAAAGATTTAGCTTAAAACCAACCTATAAACTTTTTTTCTATTACATGCACTTTCAGGAACACAAGCACTCGAAAAGAAACGCTTGTAAAAATTCCAATTTTAACAAATTTGGAAATATTAACACAAAATTTAAAGAAATTACTAGTAATCAAAGTTGTTTTGTGAGCGAATAATTTATTACCTTAAAGCATTCTGAATTTTTAACATCGCAAAGCTTAACGTTGCATTGATAATACACCGAAGTGGTATACGGGAATTTATGAGCTGGAAATACAACACTGGCTGAAATTTTGTCACCTGCATAATTGAAGGGGCCCATAATTTCATCATCGGTTGGGCAACTGTAAATATAGAATATGTATTTAATAGTTTTAATTTTATACCTTCAAAGAAAAATTAAAATAGGAAGAGGTAGTTTTGACTGTCTCAATTTATAAAAATGCTAAGATAAAAGTTTTCGGTGACTACACAATAACTGAGTCCCATGGACTGATTGAAATTTGTAAAGAAAATGACATGCTTTTTACATGAAACGAAACTTTCGGAAGCAATCGATTCAAGAACTTTTAGAGATTAACGATTTTAGGATAATAAACTTTTATGTTTTTATTCATACAGACAAAATATTTATGAATAATAAACAAAGCGTAATTTCGTAACAAGGTAAAACGTTTCAGTCAATCTTAAACAACTAAAATACTCCCTTAACCTTGATAAGCTGACAATATTTTTTTTTATTTATTAATTTATTGCTCCAAAAGATATTTTCCAGGATTCTCTGTCAACAAATGATATCTACATTTTTGCCATTTCGAGTAAAATACCATTGAATTTTTTTGCGTTATTTTTGTTTTACTAAAACACTAGTGAAAGTTTAGTGAAGGTGGTTTAAAAGTTAGCGCAACCATCGTGTATTTTCGGTTATATGCTTCATCTTTGGAAAATAACATGAAATAAAAAAATGGGAAAAATATTTATTCTGAATTTTTCCAACAATTTAGGTATGTACATATAGGTTGAACAGCTCCCCGAGGGGTAAACTTCCCCTCTCCCTCATTAGAACCAGCCTGACTTCCTCAGAAACCGGCCAAGATCTCTAGCATTACATTCGCTAGGTCCGTATCCCACCAAAAAAAGTGGGACCCAAGAAACCTCTGCCTGGAGTTCGCCAAAGCCGGACACAAGTACACAAGGTGGGTCACCGTTTCCTCCTCCTCCTCGTCACAGCATCTCCTACAGAGATCGTTTGCGGGGCGTCCCATCCTTCAGGCATGGTCACCAATCAGACAGTGGCAAGTCAAAAACTCTATCACTGCGCTAATATCCCGCCGGAGAGATATCAGATCCTTTGTGCGACGCAAGTCTGGCTTTGGCCGCAACTTGCTTGTCGCGTTACACGTTGTTCCATTCGCCCATCTGAGATTGGTACGTTCCACTGCTGCACTGCGTAAATGGCAAGTGACTTAAAGGCATGCCAAGGTGCTCATTTCCAGGTAGAATTCCGAGAGCCGTTCCATGTCTCGCAAGCTCATCCGCCTTGCAGTTCCCCGAAATCCCACTGTGTCCGGGAACCCAAACCAAGTTTAACTTGAACTGTCCCGCCACCTCTTTAAGAGACGACCTACAATCTAGGACCGTTCTAGACGTAGAGGTCTTCGACTCTAGCGTCTTTATTATGGCCTGACTGTCCATGAAGATGCTAGCGCTGCCCACGGTTACCACGTGCTCGCCAAGCCAGCCTCTTCAATTGCAACCAGCTCTGCTTGAAAACCCTTCCGCTTCTACCCTTCCGTCAAGTTTGGATCCATTCGTGTAAAAACGAATGGAGCCGTCCCTGGCGTCAGCTTTGCCGCGGCAGGTCTGAGACCCGAAAATTTTTCACGAAAGAAAACATGGGAGAAGCCGAATTAATTTCCTCCACCCCGTGCCCCTACCCGTGCTACTACCAAGTCATCGTAGGCGACCACCTTATAGCCTTCCCCCTCCAGGAGTACCAGTAACCGATATATTATCAAGTTCCAGAGAAAATGAGAAAGCACACCCCCTTGCGGAGTGCCCCTTTCAACAGAGCGTTCAATGCATTTCCGATCAGGGTAGTCAGGCAGCCATGAATTGAGAGCTCCGACAGAGCTCGAGAGATACACCATGACTCGACATTATTGAAAGCGCATTCAATATCCAGGAAGGCAACCAGTGTTAAGGGAAATTTCAATGTAGTGTATGAAGGAATGTAGGGGCGCTTCCGTTGACCCACCCTGCCGATACGCATGTTATGCCGCAGACACCCACCTCGGGTGTCTGCTCCTTATGTATGCGTCTATAAATTTTTCCAATATTTTTAGTAAAAACGATGTTAGACTGATTGGTCTAAAATCCTTTGGGCAGCTGTGAGAGCTCCTCCCAGTTTTAGGAAACAACACTACCCTGGCAACACTCCATGATTTGGAATGTGAGCTAGAATTCGTAGATAATTTTCAGCCAGTGCAAGATGACCTCCGTCGCATTTCCCGCAGGTCCTATATCGTCCGGGCCGGTAGCGTGCCGCTAACTCATTAAGGAGGCAAAAAAGAGCCGCCATGATGGTCCGATGAGTTAAATGCTCTTCGCAAAAAATGCAGAAGTCAGTTCAACAGAGCAAAGCTAAGCTGGACATCATCTGATTAGTACGCATAAAAGAGTGACCTTAGGAAATAAAAGCTTCAGGTGAAAAGGACGCAGCGATCCTCCTGGAGGAAGTTTTGTTGAAGAATTGGCGGGGCTGCGAAGGTATCTAGACTTGGAAGGGTCTTGGCAAGTGAGCCAGTCGTGCTCCGCTTCGGAGTCCTTAAGGCTGCTTATGGATGCGCACTTCTCAGAATTCTTAGGGAAATCTATTCCGCCGACGAATTTTATTCCGGAGAAGTGGTCACCGAAAGAGGAATTCTTTGGGTCGTCCGCAGTCCTATATCATCCGGCCCGGACGCCATTTCCCAAGAGATCGCTTAGCGAGTCTCTGAACTTTGACCAATCAGTCCTTTTGCGGTTTCTGAAGGTCAAGGGAGCATTCTGGTTAGTTACCAACTCGAATTCTATATAACGATGGTCAGAAAACAATTGGTTAGTTATAATACTGGATAATAAACTACTGGAAAAATTAAATGTAAGTATCATGTTCTGAAAGAAAACCATAGTTTTATAATGCAACTTGTATTTACAGAGATGTCGATATAATTTAATCTTTTCATTTGTACCTTTAGTATTAATGTTAATGATATTTGATGTTTATTGTAATTATATGGAGGATAATAAAAACCTTTCCTAAATATTTTTATGTTTATAAAACTTACAACTATATTAAAATTAAATATTACCCTATTAAAATTATCGCTAAATCATTTTTAATCCTAAAATAAGTTTCTAATAAGAGGACTTTCTGTCAACTTTTCATCAAATATTATACCAAGGTATCTAATGTCAGTCCAGGCTATTTCGCTAGTGTCGATTTTTAGTGCTCTATTTACTAAAAAACAAACCTTATCTTTTAGTGATTTTGATAGATTTATATTCCTATTCGAAAACTCGTAATGATTTTTTCGGAATATATTCTCAACAATTTTTTCATCTTATTTAATTTTAATAATATTTTCAAATATTTTTGAGAATTTACGCAACAAACTGATAGGACGATAACTAAAAACATCTTCAACAGTTGTGTTAGGTTTAACTATAGAAATAACTTTAGCTTCTTTCCACTTTGTTTGAAAGTAAATAAAGCGGGGGTATCCATTTAGAATTTTAGTGAATCATAATTTTAAAATTTTTGGTAATTTTTTTATAAATTTGAAATGCGTTCAATGCTAGGGGCCTTATTCAATTCCGAAATTATATTATTTACTAAATTGTATGTGATGTGTGGAAAATTTTCAACACAAAACTTGTTAATTTCATTTACAGAAATTACAACTTTTCTTGCAGTAAATAAATGACTTAAACGAGCAGTTATAAACAATTTATGTTTTTCGCAAAAAATTTGGGCTAAAGCGTTTGCTAATATCTAATTAACCATTTCTTCTTGCGATAGTTATTTATTTCAGTTTCAATTAAATATTTGAAATGATTTAATTGTACAGTGTGCAAAAAATCCTATGTCTAATAAATTTCCTTCTTATAGAATTTAATTTTTTAATAAGACCTATAGAGGAAAGTTTTTATTTTAAATTTTAATTAGCTTTCTTGATTTGGCATATTCAATAGCTGTCAATGTTTGCGAACTAAGCTGGGATAACGCGTTGTTATCTCAGAGCTCTTATCAATATGATAAGAAGATTTATAAAATCATCAGTGTTAAAATTTAAAAATGATTCCTTAAGTTTTTTTTTCGTATGTTTTATCCAGTTTGAATTTTTATAATCAAAATGAGTAATCTTATACAAATATGCACCATCGCTTATTTTCAATAGTACAGGTAAACTTGCAGATGAAAGATTTATATCAGTCACAAGCTGAGTGAAAAATTTTGAGAAGTTTGTTAAGAAAAAATTTATTGCATACGTATGTTGTAAAATGCAGGCGTAACGTGAAAAAACGTACATTGGTAAGGTATAGTGAATCTACCGGTTGAAATTAAGTCCTGCAGTGCGTTGCTCCATGTGTATGCACGAAAGCATCTCTGTTTCGTGAGTTTAGATGACCTACTAATTAAAAAACTTCCAGTGACACGGAAAATGAGTAAAAGGTCCTTTCTAAAAAAAAATTTGATGCCTGATCTATCAGTATCTCTTAAGTTCAACTTATTAATATAGTTTTTTGCTCCTGAAAAGTATACAAAGAAAAAAGAGTTTTAATACTTTATTTTTCAACTTAATTTGAAAACCAACTTTTTTTTATAAGTTTTTTATATTTAATGCTGGTATCGGACAATGTTCTAGATCTTTTCTGACCAGTATATATACACAAACGCAAACTTAATTTTATTTTTAACCCATGTTTCCTCGGTGGGTTGGGGTGTAGAAATACCCACAGCAGGTCCGTTACATCAGGAAAGTGGGCCAATGGTCGATTCGCGTATATGGAGAAGCTGTGTAAGGAGTTAAAAGATGAGATCTGCAAATTTAGGGCCGAAAAATTAAGATTATTGCGACTGCAAAATGGAGTTTTAAATAGCAGCGAGAAAGACAAAATAAGTGCGATCGTGTGTGAAACAGAGGAGGAAGGGTTGGAGACAGAAGCCGATTAGTTTCATTTTTTTTTTATGTAAATCAACATAATGCTTGCAAAGGATATTATGACATATTATGTTAATTAATATGTTAAGTTTATATAGAACCTAATGTGTATATGACATTAGGGTCTATATGTATAT